TGGCCCTGTCCCCGGGTGTCCCCTGTCCCCGGTCTCCCCTGACCCTGTCCCCGGTGTCCCCTGTCCCTGGGTGTCCCTGACCCTGTCCCCAGTGTCCCTGACCCTGTCCCCGGTGTCCCCTGTCCCCGGTGTCCCCTGTCCCCGGGTGTCCCGGGGTGTCCCTGACCCTGTCCTCGGTGTCCCCTGTCCCCGGGTGTCCCTGACCCTGTCCCCGGGTGTCCCCTGTCCCCGGGTGTCCCCGGGTGTCCCTGACCCTGTCCCCGGTGTCCCCTGTCCCCGGGTGTCCCCAGGGAGCACAACACGTGGGAGCCCGAGAAGAACCTGGACTGCCCCGAGCTGATCTCGCAGTTCCTGCGCAAGGACCGCAGGATGAGGGACATGAGGGACGTGAGGGACAGCGAGGGGACACGGCCCCGGGAGCGCCCCGAGGGCGCCAAGCGCAAGGGACTGCCCGGGGAGGACGGCAGAGCCAAGAAGAAGAGGGAGGTGAGAGGGGACACCGGGAGGGGACACTGGGGACAGGGACACTGGGAGGGGACAGGGACACTGGGAGGTGAGAGGGGACACCGGGACAGCGGGACAAGGACACTGGGAGGGGACAGGGACACCGGGACAGGGACACCGGGACAGGGACACTGGGGACAGGGACACTGGGAGGGGACAGGGACACTGGGACAGGGACACCGGGACAGGGACACTGGGACAGGGACAGCAGGAGGGGACAGGGACACAGGGAGGGGACAGGGACACTAGGACGTGAGAGGGGACACCAGGGACAGGGACACTGGGAGAGGATGGGGACATCAGGAGGGGACACCGGGGACAGGGACAGTGGGAGGGGACAGGGACACTGCCCAGGGGACAGGGAAACCAGGAGGGGACAGGGGACACTGGGGACAGGGACACTGGGAGAGGTTGGGGACATCAGGAGGGGACAGCAGGGACAGGGACACTGGGAGGGGACATGGGGATGGGATGGGGACAGCGACTGGGGACAGTGGCACCCAGCATCCTGTCCACAGGGACTCCAGGACGGGCCACCAGGGAAGGGACAGTGGCCACTCCCCCAGTGCCACCACGCTGGGACCCTTCCCTGACCTCTCCTCCCCCACATCCCATTTCCCCCCCCCATTTCCCCCCAGAGCAATGACATCGCCCGCGGCTTCGAGCGGGGGCTGGAGCCCGAGAAGATCATCGGGGCCACCGACTCCTGCGGGGACCTCATGTTCCTCATGAAGTGGTGAGGCCACCTCGCTGTCCCCAGCGTCCCCTGGGCCACCGCGCTGTCCCCTGAGCCCCCTGAGCCACCGCGCCGTCCCCAGCGTCCCCTGAGCCACCTCGCTGTCCCCTGAGCCACCTCGCTGTCCCCTGAGCCACCTCGCTGTCCCCAGTGTCCCCTGAGCCACCGCGCCGTCCCCAGTGTCCCCTGAGCCACCGCGCCGTCCCCAGTGTCCCCTGAGCCACCACGCTGTCCCCTGAGCCACCTCGCTGTCCCCTGAGCCACCGCGCTGTCCCCAGCGTCCCCTGAGCCACCGCGCTGTCCCCTGAGCCACCGCGCTGTCCCCAGTGTCCCCTGAGCCGCCTGGACACCCCCACTTTGTGACTGTGTCCCCCTTGAGCCCCCAGTTTGTGTTTGTGCCTTGCTGTCCCCCCAGTTTGTCCTTGTCCCCACTTTGTGTCCGTGTCCCCCAGTTTATCCCTGTGTCCCCAGTTGGTGTCCCCAGCCTGTCCCCGTGTCCCCAGTCTGTGTCCCCATCCTGTCCCTGTGTTCCCAGTTGGTGTCTCTGTGTCCCCAGCCTGTCCCCGTGTCCCCAACCTGTCCCCGTGTCCCCAATTTGTGTCCCCAGCCTGTTCCTCTGTCCCCAGCCTGTCCCCATGTCCCCATCCCCGTGTCCCTCTGTCCCCATCCCCGTGTCCCCATGTCCCATCCTGTCCCCGTGTCCCCGTGTCCCAGCCTGTCCCCGTGTCCCCATCCCCGTGTCCCCATGTCCCAGCATATCCCCAGCCTGTCCCAGCCCATCCCCGTGTCCCCATCCCTGTGTCCCCATCCCCGTGTCCCCATGTCCCTTCCTGTCCCCGTGTCCCCGTGTCCCAGCCTGTCCCTGTGTCCCCATCCCCATGTCCCAGCCTGTCCCCATGTCCCCATCCCCGTGTCCCTGTGTCCCAGCCCGTCCCCGTGTCCCATCCTGTCCCTGTGTCCCCAGGAAGGACACGGACGAGGCTGACCTGGTGCTGGCCAAGGAGGCCAACCTCAAGTGTCCCCAGATTGTCATCGCGTTCTACGAGGAGCGGCTGACGTGGCACGCGTACCCCGAGGACGGCGAGCCCAAGGACCCCCCCCGCAGCTGAGCCCCCTCCCCTGTACAGAGCCCGGGACCCTCCCGGCCCCGCCGTGCCCCCCGCGGCCGGCCCCGCCTGTCCCCACCCCCCAGGGCGGCTTTGGGGGGTGGCCCCGATTCTGGTGTTTTTTAAAGTCGGTGTTTTTAGCCGGGGCCCCCCCGGGGTGTCCCCGTGTCCCCTCTGTCCCCGTGTTGTCCCCAACCCCCCGGATTTGCTTCCAATAAACGGTCACTTTTCAGAGCTGCCACCTGCTGGGGCTGGGGACCGCGCTGTGTCCCCTCAGTGTCCCCAGCCCGGTGTCCCCCCGCTCCCCTCGCCGGTGCCCCCTGGTGGTGACAGCGCGGCGCTGCACGCGGGGACAAAGGGGACCCGGGGACAGCGGGGGTGGCACTGGGGGGTCCCGGAGGGGACAAAGGGGACCCGGGGGTGGCACTGGGGGGGTCCCGGAGGGGACAAAGACCCGTGGGGGTGGGGCAGGGGCTGTTTGGGGACATCTTGGTGACGCTCGGGGATTGTTGGGGACACCTGGGTGACACCTGGGTGACACGGGAGCGGAGGTTGGGGACACTGCAGTGGCACCGAGGGGGGGTCTGGGGACACCGGGGGAGGTTGGGGACGCGCCCTCCCGCGCCCGCTAGGAGGCGCCCTCGCGCCGCCGCAGCTCCGCGTGCCCCGCCCCCCGCCGTGGCAAGGGGCGTGGTCTGCTCAGACCCCGCCCCCTGCTGTGAGTCGGGGAGTCCCCCCCCGGGGGGGGTCTGAGGGGGGTTGGAGGGTCCGGGTGGGATTTTGGGAGGGTCAGGGTGGGATTTTGGGGGGTTCGGGTGGGATTTGAGTGCCCTGT